GTTTGCCTTTCTCTTGTCACTGTGATGCCTTTTCCATGATGCGCTGAAGAAGTCGCTCCAGCACTGGATGCCAGAAACCGTCCGAGGTCAGGACCACCAAATCAGCAGCTCCTGGAGGAGATGCCCGTGGAGCAGCTGAAGAGTCGCACGCTTCTGGCTGAGAGCAATATCGGCGTGGTCCACGTGCTGCGCTTCTCAAAGTACCTGAAGCTCGGAGCCTCTCACCTCGAACTGCACTGCAAGAGACGGGACCAAGGGTTGTCAGCGAGACTTCAGCTCTACAAGCGCCAGTACGCTTCCGAGGACTGTCGCCTCGAAAGCCTGCCCGTGGTCGTTGTCTGCCGCACTGCAGCCCAGGCACTTCTCCTGGAAGGGTTTCTACACCACTACATGCGACGATGGTATCCCCAAATGGTCATCTCGGAGTCTGACACAAAGCAGCTTTACAGCCTCGACGCGCAGGACGTCCTTCTGCAGCAGCTGCACTGGCGCGCACAGCGCTCGGCTCGCCAGCTCAAGGTCTGGAAGCAGTGGCTTGACCAGCAGACCAACGTCGTTGGCTCCACGGACACCGCTCTGCCAGAGGAGAACTCGAGCCTGGACCTCTGAAAGAGAGCTCTTTTCCCCCCAACCATCGATCCTCTAGGGATCCTTTCGGCAGGGGACGTACAGCACTTGCAGCTTTCGAGCTGTCGAATTCGTCACGCTTGCAGCGCCAGAAGAAAAACAGTGTGGATGCCTGCATGAGCCTGCTCCAAGAGAGGCGAAGCGGAGCGACTCTCGCTGAGGCTGTGGTCTGTGGATCTGGGATGGATGAGAGGAGACCTCCCACGGAGACGCTGTCGAAGCATGTCGAAGCTTTGCAGACGGAGGACCCTCGCCATGGTGCAGGGCCTCTTTGCCGCGGCCCCACTTGGGTGGGTTTGCAATTGTAGTAGGTGTTTCTTTGTGGAACCGGCTTGGGGTCTGGGAGTCTGGGATTTATGCCACTGCAAGTCTGGAGATACTTCAGGCAATGATCTTTGGAGCTGCCGTCCTTAGTCTTTTGAGTGAAGCGCAAGTCTTTCCCAGGCAGGGATCAGCTTTCAGCAATGGCACTGACATGTGTGGTTTCATGTGGCCTTGATTGCTTCGTGCTGTTGCAGGCGCTGCATATGCCAGACTGGTCCCGGGATTTATGGCTTCTGCGAGGTCGTGCCCCTAGACATCCGTCTGCGAGGTTGCAGTAGAGGTTTGCCTGGGTGAAGGAAGGGTTGCAGGCATTGGCAGATTTTGAGCCGCGAGGTGTGGCAAGATTGCCGCACGGTCATCAGCTTCATGATGGGCGCACTGATATGCCACTGTACCAGATGCTCCAAAGGTGGGACCTTTGGTGCCGGATTGAAGGGTTTCTTTCGAGTTGTCGCATGGTTTGGGTTCGGAAACAGGAGATGATGATCAAGAGCCAAGTGGAAGGACAGACCTGCGTCCTTGCTCATGTGCGGTGCCGATGTTCAGAGCATGGCTCCAAATCTGACAGGAAAGGGCTCCATCTGTCCATGATTTGGTGACACGTCGAGTGCTCTCGGTAGTCCCTTTTGCAGCAGCCTCGGACGGAGTTGATGTTCTAAGAGTCCTGAAGCATGGCAGTCCTCCGGTCCAGGCCGACGATGTCTTGCGTTGATTCAACGCGACTTGCACAAGCCTGGCGATCCAGGATATCGACCAGGCTAATTTCCTCTTGGGACTTGCACTGATAGTGTTGCAATTTTTGGCGAAAAAGACCTCGCGAGCTGGCTAGCTAGGCCTCTGGCCCAGCCCAAGGCTCACGTATGCCCCGCAGGTGGGGCGAATTTAGAGATTCTAGCGGAGGCCCAAAAAACCGTCCGCAAGGGCACCAAGGCAGGGCCTCAGGGAAGGTTTAGTGTGTCGTAGTGTCGTAGTTCCGACAGTGGCTGGGGGTTTCGCTTGAGGAAAGGCCCCCTTGGGTCCCTTCCGCAAATTGGATAGAGCTAGCTGCGAAAAGCAGTGCATGGTTCTCTCCACCCTTTTTAGCATGCCGTAATGCCGTAAAGTGTACTGCCACCTGCTTGCAAAGCTGCGGGTTGATACACTGTCCGTCTATAGTATGTCCACGACCGTTTTCTATCTATATTTTAACTTCTCTTGTTGGGTATGGAGAAATTCCCATCGCCCACGATCCCTTTCCCGAGCGCCCGCAATTGCGGGTTGATTGGGAGCGGTTCGCATGGAGGGCCCTTTAGCAGGGATGGCGAGTCACGCGAAGCTCGAAGCCTCGAGAAGCGGCATTCCGCAGCTCGTAAGTGGTCACGAGTCGTAACTCCCAGCCATTCTCCTGCCATCTTCCACGGGATCCGCAGGCAAAGGGGTAGAATTCCGACCAAAGTGGCCGATGAGCCAGTTTGCAAGGATGGCATTAAAATCCGCAGCAGTGCATGGGGCTTCGGGGCTTCTGGGCTTGGATAGTGTTTCCGGGCAGGCGGAGGTGGACCGGCTGCGCTCCGAGCTGGCCTCTACGGAGGCCGCAAAGCAGCGGCTCCAGGCAGCGAGAGCCATGGCATTGGCGGCCTTGGCGTGTTTCGGGCTTAGCGAAGCCTTCGGTGAGGCTGACGAGGCCGCGGAGGCAGAAGCCGGGGCGGAGGCGAGTGTCACGCTGTCGGCAAGAGTCTCCGAAACCGAGAATCAAAGCTGCAGGCAGCGAGGCTGCTTCGCGAGGCCCGCCTGGAGGTGACACGCCTCAAGGCAGCTTTGCAGAGGCTGGAGAACTCAGGGTGAGTTTCACAGGGAATGGTGTCAGATCGAGACGAGGGCATTCGTGGTCACTGTGGCCGAAATCTTTGTTCTGGGTTAGACGAGCGTACACTATCCGGCGATCGGAACTTGATAACTCGGGTATGACATGTCGATCGTGGAGTCCTGCTGCTGAGCACTACGGAAGTACACAAGTCATCGTCAGCATCGTCAGCATCGTCATCATGATCCTCCTCCTCCTCATCATCCTCATCGTCATCATCGGCCTCCTCCTCCTCCTCCTCCTC